ACACACACACACACACACACACACACACACACACACACACACACACACACACACCGCACGCACGCACACGCACACACACACACACACACACACACACACACACACAGACACCACACACACACACACACACACACACACACACACACACACACACACACACACACACACACACACACACACACACACACACACACACACACATACACACACTACTACTACTACTACTACTACTACTACTACTACTACTACTACTACTACTACTACTACTACTACTACTACTACTACTACTACTACTACTACTACTACTACTACTACTACTACTACTACTACTACTACTACTACTACTACTACTACTACTGAAATGTGTTTTTATTGAAAGCACAAAGCAATGAAGATGTGAATGCAAGGAGGGCAATGAATTCAAAAGGCGAACAGCAAAATTGTAACAAAATAGAAAGATAACAAATATTAATGGCAACAGCAATGTTTATACATGAAAAAGGGGAAGGAAAAGGAAAGAAAAACATCCAAACCAGAACTGCTTGAACACCGCCAGAATTGAAACCGAGATTCATACAGAAGAAAAAACTTCAGGACACCGGAAAACAAACTTTAGATCACATTTTGACATTATACGAGATGATGACAAAGAAAAAACTATGCCCTAGAGAGCACACGGCAGTCATTCACAAAGCTCGCCGAGCGCTTAGAGCGATAGGAGGACCTAGAGCCACGTAAACAGGTGATACACCAGCGAAGTAGGCAGAATGACAAACGGCATCGCAAATGATTGACAACAACAGAATACACCAAATCAGCATTTTTCTCTAGAATACGGCCAACCAATGCCTTCAAAAACACGGAACACTCCTTCCCTATCATGCCGTTGGTCGCAAATACCAGAGGGGTGAATGTGCCCCGATCGATCTGATTCACTCGCTCTGCGTAATGCCGCTTTTTTTCCCGCTCATTGCGCTCCAATTGGCTCATGGCTTTTTCACGAGACAGCAAGGTGGCCCTGGGATGCGTTACCCGGATATCGAAGAAGGCCTCCTGCTGCCGCGTCCAAAAGCCACGAGCCCTGACGTCAAGCCGCGCTTCCTGGGATCGGTTAGATGTTGACCATGCCAATGTCTCACCACCAAATGGGAGAAGTTTGGGCTCGATTGCCACATCGGGACTTACACTTCTGAGTAGCTCAGCGATGAGATCACGTATCTCATTATGCCTTGCGGTGGGATAGCCACCACAAGGGCACACCATGGCATGGTCAGTCGACAAGTTAGCTCCGCATACACAGTTCGTTGGAAGACCATCAAGTGGTAGACCGTACCGAAGCGCCACAGCATCTCGAAAATCTGATTTGTTAAGTGTTGTGCCATGGGCGGTCCTTGGTTCAACAGTCAGCCAGGAGGACACGCCCTTCTCACCAGCTATCTCCACCAAGAATCGCTGGTCTGGCGTCAGGTGATCATGTACTGTGGCCAGGATCTCTATGTCCCTAGCGTCTCTCTTCTTCTTGCCTTCTCTTAAACGCTGGCGAGTCTCCATCACAGCCTCGCTAACGCTAGCATCGCGTGACGGAATTTCCATTGAAGCTGACGGTGGCCGGTGCGGAAGCCATGATGAGGTGAGAGACTCATCAGAGGTTTCATTGTTGACTGTGTGACGCGGCGGACGCAGTGAGAGCCAAATCTCTGACGCATCACCTCCATCCAGAGAACGAACATCACCGCGCTCCCGGTCAGCAGAGACAATATCCACCGACCCAGAATTCAGCGGCATAGCTTCCACGTTGTTGATGTTAGTTACTGAGTTCCGCTCCACTGCCTCTCCGGACGATTCCTCATCCGCCAATTCGACCTCGGCCAACTCCTCAGCTGCATCTGGCCGGCTCGCAGCCGTTCGCGTGCTATCGGCAGCAAGCTGTGGCACGGCTGCCTCAATTATTGGGCGCACGGCTTCGGTACACTGCGAATACTCACCCTCACATAATGGTGCAACTGGGGGGATGCCTAGCCCGCCACGGCGGCATGGAAGTCCCATAAGCTGACGAAGGGGATCGTCACTGCTTAGAGACACACCAGCAATGGCAGGCAGCAGGGAATTATTGATTGCATCATCCAATCTAGTAAATAGGTCGGGAGAGCAATTTACGGCCCGAAGGCAATAACGCCAGCGCGAAATAATGCTGCGCACAAGCACAGTATATGCAGCATGTGGCTGAGTAGTGGCGAGTTCGGAAAGGTGCTCGACTTGGCGAACCCACTTATCAACCTTGCCCGATACAAATGTGTGCAGGAATCTCTCAGACCCAAGGGCGCCACCAAGATAAATGCAACCATCCGTAACAATTCTCACCCCAGTCCCAGCGAATAATTCCTGCGCTGCGTGCTCGAGAGATGGCTTCACGAGAAGAACTGTCTTCTCCGGATTGGGGTGGTACCCATAGTCGGGTCCCAGCTGCAATAACTTAGACCAGTAAAGGGATGCGGCTTGAAGGGTGCCAGCAGCGGAATCATCATCAGCGTACCACAGCTGGGTGGTGTTTGGACATTCGTGTGAAAGTTTGTTTATGAGAGGCATAACAGCAACAGCGTAAATGGCCATCGCAAGGGGGTCACCCTGGCACGTCCCCTCACGGGAAAGAAGTTCGCCCCCACCCGCCACGAAGAGGCGGCATGGCGCGCCATACGTGTTCTTGAACACCTGACCTAAAGCAGGACAGAGAGCGGGAACATTGTGCAGGGCAGCATTCCTATTTAGAGAATTGAATGCATTAGATGCATCTATTAGCAGCACGGCTTCGGTTTCAGGAAGACCAAAAACCCCTGCCATTGCCTGAACGGCAGCCTCGCAAGCAGCTGGCATGCCAACGCAAAGTTGGCGCGGGGCAGTCGCAGCTTTGACGTCGCTTTCGATCACCTTCATTATCGCTCGCCCTATAATCCTCCTAAACACCTCCCCAACAGCTATGGGTCTAACACCTGGGGATTTATCAAGGGGGATCAGGCGAGCGGCAGTGAATGCCTCCATGAAACTCGGCTCGATATTCGCAGTACACAATACGCGTGCCGAATCCGCCAATGCAGTGCAAAGTCGGTTGGAAGCTGGGCCGAAGCACGTTAGCATCCTGGTCCAGGCCTCCGAGTCTAGTCCGGACGGACCAGCGGCGCCCTTCATGGACCTGCTCACAAACTTGATGAGGCTTGGCGTGATGCGCTCGAAGAGTATTGGGTTCACCCGCTGTGAGTCGGTCGGCGCCACCAATGAGCCAGGAACCGCCGGTGAGGGAGACGGGTGCTTGTCATGCAGTACCTCACGCACAGTCTTGTCACCACCGGCCGAGTCCTCCATCCCGAGCACTGAGCCAGGTGAGTCATCACCTACCATCCTCGCTGCAGAGTGAACCTTCCCTGCGAATACTCGTCGACTGAAGGTTGTATCGTTCACTGTATCAGGCAGTTTCTGGCGACGCTTCCCGGCGGGTAGGTGCGCTTGAATACACCTGGCTTCGTCCAGGATGTCCTCAAGCCTGCCACATGACCACGATTTCATACGTCGCGTGATGTACTACTACTACTACTACTACTACTACTACTACTACTACTACTACTACTACTACTACTACTACTACTACTACTACTACTACTACTACTACTACTACTACTACTACTACTACTACTACTACTACTACTACTACTACTACTACTACTACTACTACTACTACTACTACTACTACTACTACTACTACTACTACTACTACTACTACTACTACTACTACTACTACTACTACTACTACTACTACTACTACTACTACTACTACTACTACTACTACTACTACTACTACTACTACTACTACTACTACTACTACTACTACTACTACTACTACTACTACTACTACTACTACTATGTACAGCTACCCTATCGGGCCACGCCGCTCCCAGAAACGGGAGACAACGACAAGAAGAGAGAAGAGAAGAGAGAGAAATCGCAAAGTCAACAATATTTGGCATGATCGGCAACGCTCCGTGCGCGCTGGGGTGACACTACACCGGTGTCAGACCTTGTTCGGCGTCGGCGGTTGGAACGGCTCGGGCACGTCGCGCGCATGCCTGCAGACCGTGCTCCCGTCCAGATTTTGTTTGGAAGGTTGAGTAGTCGTCGCCCTCCTTGTGGTCCCCGGCGGCGCTGGAAAGACGTTGTCCAGAGAGAGAGAGAGAGACACACACACACACACACACACACACACACACACACACACACACACATACACACACACATCACACACAGAGACATGCTCATGCGCACACTTAGGTAAATTATCCATCCCTGATTTCAACGCTAACCCCCGAGACCTCTGGCCTGTTTAAAAGTTTCTTCCAAGACATTGACACTTGGTCCCTACATCTCCTGTGTCTTGTTTTATCTTTTCCTCTACATGTACATCTCAGCAGGGATGTGTTCATAAAAACAATACACTCACACTTTCAACTTTTTCAAACTTATGAACACTTTTTACTCTCTACTTGTCATTTGTTTGTGTTTGAGCAGGTTCCTGCAGCAACGGCACAGCTTTCTGCTTTGAGAATGGTGATGCAGTTCTGAAGCAGTTATCTCTAGGACAGGTATGCAAGCAAAACAGCATACACAGTACATGTGCAGTGCTATTATGATACACTAGTAGTGCACTAGCCACTCACTCTCTATATATGTACACAGTGACCATAAGCAGTTCACCTCTATACTACATGTACATGCATGCCATATTCGGCATACACATTAGCAAGCTGTGTTAATAACCAACGGTGTGTGGGAGGGGGTCTGAGAACGAAAAGATCAATGTTTGTTTCAGGGACGACAAACAACCTTTGCAACGACACATTTAGCGTCCATAAGCGGTTGTGGAATTACACCGACTCACCATTATGACTTCATTCATGGAAACATCTACAAGTATAGCATATCCAAATTACAGTCAAACAAAAGAAAAAAAAGAGGACACACTTCAGGCTCTTCACGAACATCTTGAACGTTTTCAGTTTCACAAGTATACTTTCAAGCCTTCTCATCAGGTGAAACACAGGCAAAGGGAAAGGAACAAGAACAGTGGATTAAGTACAGTAAGGAGGTGATAACTCAGTGCAAAGAAGAACGGATAACTAAAACTAACAGCAAAAATGTGTGACCTATACACATAGAAATAATGACACAAAGGTGCAAGTGCTAGAAAATCTAACAAGCGTGACTTGTGGTGTGACTACAAGAGACTTATGAATAATTATGACGTCATATAATATTATGGTTGATGTTTGTGCAGGGCTTGGATCAGATCTGCTTTGCCTTTGGAATCCTGCTGGCGTTGTTCTTCGCCTTCTTCATTTCCGGACTTCTGATGTATGTAATCAAGCACGCTCAGGAGGTCATGATGGCTGAATCTTGCCCGAGCCTGCAGCCCAAGGGCCGTAGGCCCGAGGGCTGCAGGCAAGGGCAAGATTCAGCCATCATGACAGACAGAGCGTGCTTGATTTGATTTCTTACATCGCGAAGCAACATATTAGGGAAGGTCAAAGGTCGAAAGGTCGAAAGGTCGAAAAATTATTCCCGAAATGACGTCAAACGGTCCGAACATTCCCGAAATGACGTCAAACGGTCCTGAAACTCCCGAAATGACGTCAAACGGTCCTGATGGCCTGATTATGCCCGCGGCGGGAAGATCGCCTATTGGCCATGGCCCCGGCAACGATCACGTGTCATGTAAGAAACTGGTGTTGCGTATCCGCTACATCAAGCGCTAATGTCTGCCAGGCGCAATGCGTAGACGTGTCACTCTGAGGTGCTAAACCTGACTTCATGATGGTGTTGTTCTAGTGTTGAGATGATTCTGTATTCCGCTATGTTTGTCAGTGTCTTTCATGTTGCTATTTTGTTAGTCATACAGCCCATATACACTCATTAATGTCAACTTCAGTAGTGCACATTCCCAGACAAGTATTCTGCCTGTCACGTGTGTGTGTGTGTGTGTGTGTGTGTGTGTGTGTGTGTGTGTGTGTGTGTGTGTGTGTGTGTGTGTGTGTGTGTGTGTGTGTGTGTGTGTGTGTGTGTGTGTGTGTGTGTGTGTGTGTGTGTGTGTGTGTGTGTGTGTGTGTGTGTGTGTGTGTGTGTGTGTGTGTGTGTGTGTGTGTGTGTGTGTGTGTGTGTGTGTGTGTGTGTGTGTGTGTGTGTGTGTGTGTGTGTGTGTGTGTGTGTGTGTGTGTGTGTGTGTGTGTGTGTGTGTGTGTGTGTGTGTGTGTGTGTGTGTGTGTGTGTGTGTGTGTGTGTGTGTGTGTGTGTGTGTGTGTGTGTGTGTGTGTGTGTGTGTGTGTGTGTGTGTGTGTGTGTGTGTGTGTGTGTGTGTGTGTGTGTGTGTGTGTGTGTGTGTGTGTGTGTGTGTGTGTGTGTGTGTGTGTGTGTGTGTGTGTGTGTGTGTGTGTGTGTGTGTGTGTGTGTGTGTGTGTGTGTGTGTGTGTGTGTGTGTGTGTGTGTGTGTGTGTGTGTGTGTGTGTGTGTGTGTGTGTGTGTGTGTGTGTGTGTGTGTGTGTGTGTGTGTGTGTGTGTGTGTGTGTGTGTGTGTGTGTGTGTGTGTGTGTGTGTGTGTGTGTGTGTGTGTGTGTGTGTGTGTGTGTGTGTGTGTGTGTGTGTGTGTGTGTGTGTGTGTGTGTGTGTGTGTGTGTGTGTGTGTGTGTGTGTGTGTGTGTGTGTGTGTGTGTGTGTGTGTGTGTGTGTGTGTGTGTGTGTGTGTGTGTGTGTGTGTGTGTGTGTGTGTGTGTGTGTGTGTGTGTGTGTGTGTGTGTGTGTGTGTGTGTGTGTGTGTGTGTGTGTGTGTGTGTGTGTGTGTGTGTGTGTGTGTGTGTGTGTGTGTGTGTGTGTGTGTGTGTGTGTGTGTGTGTGTGTGTGTGTGTGTGTGTGTGTGTGTGTGTGTGTGTGTGTGTGTGTGTGTGTGTGTGTGTGTGTGTGTGTGTGTGTGTGTGTGTGTGTGTGTGTGTGTGTGTGTGTGTGTGTGTGTGTGTGTGTGTGTGTGTGTGTGTGTGTGTGTGTGTGTGTGTGTGTGTGTGTGTGTGTGTGTGTGTGTGTGTGTGTGTGTGTGTGTGTGTGTGTGTGTGTGTGTGTGTGTGTGTGTGTGTGTGTGTGTGTGTGTGTGTGTGTGTGTGTGTGTGTGTGTGTGTGTGTGTGTGTGTGTGTGTGTGTGTGTGTGTGTGTGTGTGTGTGTGTGTGTGTGTGTGTGTGTGTGTGTGTGTGTGTGTGTGTGTGTGTGTGTGTGTGTGTGTGTGTGTGTGTGTGTGTGTGTGTGTGTGTGTGTGTGTGTGTGTGTGTGTGTGTGTGTGTGTGTGTGTGTGTGTGTGTGTGTGTGTGTGTGTGTGTGTGTGTGTGTGTGTGTGTGTGTGTGTGTGTGTGTGTGTGTGTGTGTGTGTGTGTGTGTGTGTGTGTGTGTGTGTGTGTGTGTGTGTGTGTGTGTGTGTGTGTGTGTGTGTGTGTGTGTGTGTGTGTGTGTGTGTGTGTGTGTGTGTGTGTGTGTGTGTGTGTGTGTGTGTGTGTGTGTGTGTGTGTGTGTGTGTGTGTGTGTGTGTGTGTGTGTGTGTGTGTGTGTGTGTGTGTGTGTGTGTGTGTGTGTGTGTGTGTGTGTGTGTGTGTGTGTGTGTGTGTGTGTGTGTGTGTGTGTGTGTGTGTGTGTGTGTGTGTGTGTGTGTGTGTGTGTGTGTGTGTGTGTGTGTGTGTGTGTGTGTGTGTGTAGCATTATGGTGATAATGCAGATAAATGGGTGCACGCAGCTTTATGCTACTGCTCAATCTATGCTGCTATGTGTAATAGTGCTGTTACTGCGTGCTCATGCTTTGCTGCTGACTACGGTCTCGTGCTCATGCTTTGCTCCTGGCTACCGTCGCGTGCTCATGCTTTGCTCCTGGCTACCGTCGCGTGCTCTGCACATCATGGTGTGGTACTCTGTGCGGCTTGGCGCTCTGCGTGATATTGAATGCGTCTCTCTACATGACATTGAACTACTTGAACTTTAGTACTTGTCTCTCTATGTGGCGTTCATACGTGACACTCGCCTCCGATGTGGGCAGCGTGTGGCGCGGCGTCATGATGGCGTTCGCATGTAGCGCTCAACGTGGGCTACATGCATCATTGCATGACATGCTAGAGTTTTCTCCGTTATTATTAAAATAATATTATAATTGTCGAACAATGTCCAGCCGGGCACGTACTCCCCTTTCATACCAGTATGATCACGAGCAGTGCGCATACGAACAGCAGCTAGGGGAAGCGGTTGTGATGGGCTAGATGATGTGCTCGGCTTCTCTCCGCAACATTGGGTTCATGCGGACCTGTACGCATTAAAAACATGTTCACACACACACACACACACACACACACACACACTCCCCACCCCCCACCACCCCTCTTACTGAGCAGATTTGGAAGCAGATATTGTACGAGCAGCTGTGCAGTCTTCTTCCGTGACCCTAGTTGGAGACTTTAATGTAAATATGGACCCAGCCCATCCGGCACCCCAGCACAAACACCTCACCTACCTCTGTGCTGCGTTTGGCCTCCAGAACATCGTCATGCAGCCGACCCGTGAAACTCCACAGTACCCTGAAGGCACGATGATTGATCTCATATTGACTAACCCGGCGCTAGTGTCCCTAGCAACGGTTGTGCCCACTGATATTAGTGACCACAGCGCTGTGGAAGCCTTTATTCAGCTTGCCGTTGACGTTCCACCCGCGTCATCCACGACGTCGCGGCTGACCAGGAATATACGTGGCGTTGACATTTTAAACTCTTTTCGGCAAGATATCCTTGAGGCTTCTCTACATGATTTATCGGATCACAATGATGTAAATGTCATGTGGAAAGAGTGGCACACTAAGTTCCTGTACGTTTTGGACAAGCATGCCCCGCTGCACAACTCTAAGCCTTCCCGGAGGTCGATACCTCCCTGGTCTGACAGAGAGCTGCACCAGCTCGAACAGCGTAAACGGCGGCTGCACAGCCGTTGGCGGAAGGATAGGACAAACGGCACACTGTATGCAGAGTTCAAACAAGCACGTAGCACTGCTCGCAACGTGTATCGGCGCAAGCGAAATGAGTACTTCTCCCGTCAGTGCGAAGAAAATGTGGCCAACCCTAGGAAGTCTTGGGCCATTCTAAATGCAGTCACTGGGCGTTCACGTCGCCGCCAAGATCCTAGTTGTAGCATCAGTGAAGTGGCCGACACGTTCCACTCCATTGTCACCGATCCCAACCGTCCTGAACAACTCTGTACTCCGCACGGTCCCGCTGGACCCGTCTCCTTGACCGAACTTGATCCTGTGACTCCTGCTGACGTCCGACGTCTCCTTGAGAAGTTGGTTGCGCGGAAAGCCACAGGTAGTGACGGCATACCGGGCTCTCTGCTACAGCAGTGTGCTGACTTGCTTGCATATTCTCTTACTGTGCTGTTCTGCACCTCGCTGAGGACTGGAACCATTACATCCGCATTTAAATTGGCGTCTGTCGTGCCACTGTACAAGGCCGGTGACCCATCAGTCCCCACCAACTATAGACCTGTATCCCTTCTCCCAATAGTGTCCAAGTTGCTGGAGAGAGTAGTGCAACACCAGTTAGTTCGTCATTTGGACTTGACCAAGGCATTACCCGAAACACAATTTGCCTTCCGCAAGAAATGTTCCACGGAAGACGCCCTCTGTGTGCTGACTGATAATCTGCAGAAGGCGAGAGACAGTGGCAAGACCACAGGGCTGTGCCTACTAGACATGTCGAAGGCTTTTGATAAAGTGCACCATGACAAGTTAATTCAAGACCTCCTTGCGGTTGGAATTTCTGGAAAAGCCCTTAGTTGGTTCGTCGACTACTTGTCCGGCCGCAAGCAGCAGATCCTCATCTCGCCTTCAACTAGCCCTGCTCTGGCTTGCACCTGCGGAGTGCCCCAAGGCTCTGTTCTCGGCCCTGTCCTCTTCAGTATATACACACGCGATGTCCCTTTGGTTTCCTCGCCTGTGCCAAGTGTACAATTTGCAGATGACATAGCCCTGTACGACTCCCAGGCCTCAGCGGCGGAAGCGTCCAGAACCCTCACCACAGCGGCAACTGCTCTGGCCGGTTGGCTGAAGTCCCGAGGCCTCATCTTGAACGCCACCAAGAGCCAGGTTCTGACTATCTCTCCCCAGCAGCATGTACAGGAAGTAACAGTCAAAAGCGGCGACTGTCTCCTCCCCTCAGCGTTCACCTTGACAATCGCCTAGATTGGGACACCCATGTAAACTATGTGGTCACCAAAGTCGCCAAGAAAATTGGCGCCTTGTGGCGGGCACGCCGAAGCCTATCAAGACGCTCTCGTCAGGTGTATGTGAAGGCGGTCATAATGCCCGACCTGCTTTATGGCTCCTGCTGCTTTTCAGCCGCAATGCGAGAGGGTCAACTGAAACGACTGCAAACCGCGCAAAACAGAGCCATCCGCTGTATCGATGGCAACCCGCCCCGGACAGCCATGCATCCGCTGCTCACTGCTCACTCCCTGTACCGTGTCAGCGAGCTCTACAGGCATAAAATATTGATCACCATCTTGCGGTGCATCCACGCCCGCACCAGCCCTGTGCTCGCCCAGCTTCTGACCCCGGCACAAGGCACCCCTACCCACCATCAGCAGTCAAATGGCCTACTAAGCCAGGCAAACCGTAGCCGCCGCGGTCAACGGAGATTTTCTGTTGCTGGTGCTCTGCTGTGGAACGCTCTCCATGGTGAGGTCCGCACATTTAAGCATGCATGTGTACCATACGCCTGTAGGGAGTAGTTCGAGTTGCTGCTGATCGCTCTGCTCTCCCTCCCCGTGCAGTTCAGTAATCCTCACGTAGTATCACAGATACATCGTATTCTCTCTCTCCCCTCCCCTCCCCCGTTTACTCGCAGTTATTAGAATCCTATTCTCTTACTATGTGCTTCCATAGCTTTTACTATGTTCTTCCATAGCCACTTCTAGGCTAAGCCTTCGCCGTCATTTTATTGGGTCGTCATCCCGTTTGAATGTGCGAAGTGAAATAAAAACCAACCAACCAACCAGTGT